TCTTCTACAGGTACTATCACGGAAAATGCTCTGAAGAGTTGGCACGTATGATTCCACCGAGAGTAGCACCTACCAGGCGAACGCGTCAAACAGACGGTAACCATGAATTTACTGTCAAACTAGAGGCACCAAGAACCTCACTATATCAGAATTCATATCTCTGGAGAACAGCATCGCTGTGGAATAAACTCCCTGCGACGGTTTTCCCTGCAGGTTACAACCTGAACCGTTTCAAGACCAACATACACCGACATTTCCGCGCACTTGCCGCTTCTCGAGCGTGATAGGACATTGTCCTTGCGAGTGCGCATATCCGTAAAAAAAAAAAAAAAAAAAAAAAAGCTACAAAATCTATTAGGATTGAGTAAATTTCCTTTTAACTTCTTTCATTTTTATTCTGTACCAACTAATTCGCAGAGTCGGTTTAAGGTAGTTTTGCCAAAGAATAAATATTTAGTAAACTTTGCGTACTATCCACAAACATGCCTGGAGGTCCTTCCTGAGTCCTTCGTTTGCCCTAAAAAGGACCTGCAAGAAGTCAGAAAAACCAGCCCATGCGAGATACAACTCCTGAATTCTGACAAACACCACTCAGCTTGCAAGCAAACCGAAGCTAGCGTTCTAGAAGCTAACAATCAGTGGATACTTATATTTCCAATTAAGGAAACTATCAAAATTCAGTGTTTTGGCCAAGAAGAAATCCAAAACGTCATAGAGACATACATTTGCCAAATTTCTATGGGATGCAGGGTCAGCACAAACTCAAAACTGGTTATCAATGAACAAAAGCTAATCGGTCCAATTCAGCAACCCATATTGTTTAAATAAGAACAATATTTTAATGCCCGATAGCGATAGCGAAAATTTAGTTGAAGAACTAAATAACGTAACCTTAACCAAAGCCCTTGATAATACGGCTACGCTTGAAGCTGCCAAAGAAATTTGCATGAACATAAAAAAAAAATTCCCATGCAAAAGTGAACATTTAGAATTTTTTATTGCTAGCATTGATAAATTTAATGATCGTTACTGGCTCTGTAATGAAAGAGCGCTGCAGAAAAGAGCGCTGTAACAAAAGAGCGCTGTAACAAAAGAGCGATGTAACAAAAGAGCGCTGTAACAAAAGAGCGCTGCACAAAAGAGCGCTGTAACAAAAGAGCGCTGCACAAAAGAGCGCTGTAACCAAAGAGTGCTGTAACAAAAGAGCGCTGTAACAAAATAGCGCTGTAACAAAAGAGCGCTGTAACAAAAGCGCGCTGTAACAAAAGAGCGCTGCACAAAAGAGCGCTATAACAAAACAAAAATTCACCAAAAACGTGAAAAACCCTTTTGGAAATGTAATACCTTGAAATTTACATTATTTTTTTCTTTCATCAAATATCTCAAGCAGAAAATGAATACAAAATAACCCAATCTAACCCAAATTAACCCGTCCTCGGAATGCGACCCAATCTCTGTTTCTGAACTTGATCAAATTGCTCAAATAGAAAATGAATCAAAATAACCCAAACTGACCCCTCCTCGGAATGCGACCCAATCGCTGTTCCTGAGCTTCATCAAATTTCTCAAACAGAAAATTAATACAAAATAACCCAAACTGACCCGTCCTCGGAATGTGACCCAAATTCTGCCTTTTTTACTTAATCCACCTTTTTGAAATTCAGATAGCGTTCTTTTGTTACAGCGCTCTTTTGTGCAGCGCTCAGATGTGCTGCGCTCTTTTGTTACAGCGCTGTTTTGTTACAGCGCTCTTTTGTTACAGCGCCCGTTTGTTACAGCGCTCTTTTGTGCAGCGCTCTTATGTGCAGCGCTCTTTTCTTACAGCGCTCTTTTGTTACAGCGCCCTTCTGTTACAGCGCTCTTTTGTTACAGCGCTCTTTTGTGCAGCGCTCTTTCGTGCCAGAGCCATCGTTACTATGTTCATACTATAATGACGTTTCTTTGACGGAATTTATTTTCGCCTCGATTTGTTCCAAAATGATTGATGAGGCTGGTGACTTTTCACTTTGTCGACCATTTAACAACCTGGCCACAAATTAAAATCGCACTCAGGCCACAAATTAAAATCGCACTCAGGCCAAAAATTGGAGATCGAGTAAACAGACAAGTTTTATCTCAACAATTCAATTTTTTGACAAGGAACCGAAACGAAAATACGCTTGATTTTATTGAACGTATAGAAATTTTCAAAACCCGTATCTGTCTAAAGATTATTGCGGACCAAACTCTGCAACAAGAGACCAAACAAGCACTTAATGAACAAACTGAACTATCAGCAGTCGCTATAAATAAATATTGAACCTATTCTACTAAATATCTTCCAAAAATACTTCAAACATAATTCCTTCACCCTGCAAAGATCCAGCAAACTTCCGGAGGATATTCACGATTATGATGAACAGCAACTGAAAATAAAGTACTATCACGAAACAAAAACATCCCATCGAGGCATACAAGAACATATCATTGCCCTCAAGAAAAACTTTTATTTGGTCCAATCTTGAAAATGACGTAAAAACGTAGATAAATATGTGCGAGATTTGCCAAAAATCCAAGTACGAATGACATCCAAACAAATTAATTTTCAAACCCACACCTATTGGTTACGAGCCATTCAATCACATCTATATAGATGTTTATAAAACAAACAATACATCTATTTTGATAGTAAGCGATAGTTTTTCAAAAATTGGACAGACATAGGAACCCTTTATTATCACCTACGAGCAGCGAAGTGGCTAGCAAATTAATTGTTTACTCCAATCATTACAGACTTCCAAGAAAAATAACAACCGATAATGGTTCCACATTTAAAAACGAGATTATTCAAAACTTATGCTTTTTACGTCAAATTGAGATACACTATTGCATCCCACATAGCCCAAATTCGAACAGCTCTATCAAACGCCTACGCTCACTTTAAGCGAAACTATCCTGACATTGAAAAATGAAAAGCCCAATGAAAATATCGTAAATCTGATGAATTAGGCTATTTTATCATACAAAAATTCTACCCACAGTGCCCTCAAATACACATCTTTTCAAATCATCAAAGGCAAACTAGACTACAAAAATCCGTTGGAATTCTCCGAAGACCCAAACTGATCTCAATACATCCAAGATCAATCTGATAATATCTAAATAATCAATCAAGAATTCCATGAAAAAATCACGACCCAACAAAAATCAAAATTAGAGAAAGTTAAACAAAAATAGACAAGAGAATATCAAAATCGATCTCGAAAAACCGTTATACACCACCGTTATACACCCAAACGATGAAAAATAAAGGAAACAAACATAAGGAAATCCATAAATCAAACAATAAGAAAGAAAAGACCGTTTCCTCATAAAAAAAAAACCTACTAAAACCATAACGCATTATTGTTTCAGATGGAACTCTACCTTCTACTTCTAATACTTACCCTGAGTATGTACTTAGAATTACAAGAAATTGAAAATCCTATTGTACCCTTATCCCTAGGTCCTGCCTACGTTACCACCACTCAACATACATCCCTTTATCATATCAATATAACAATTATCGAGATCAAGAGATGCTCTCCACTATCCAATTTCATACTCTCAATGCTCCTGGCATGGCAATAAACCATTGGGTGATTACAATGACAATCCTCATATCTATCGCAATTGGCGTAGTGGTGTACGTTACAAAGAAGAAATAACCCAGACGCAAATCCACCAGTAACCAAGGCCAAGAGTTGATCAATCGAAAAACAAGTCATCCCAAGTTTACCGAATTTCAGCCACCAGTTCAATGGACCCGTAGAGGCAAGGTTCATCGCCCTATATGGTCATAACTATTTCATCTAACATGCATTTTTATTATATTATTCAAGTAAATCAATTAAACTCAATCTTTTACTTTGCAGTTAATATTCAAATCTAATTTTTGTAGTTAGTCAAAATTATTGTTAAAGTGTATTTTTGTAAATAAAATTATTTTTTAAAAAGTGATTCCTAAGAAGAAATCCTGTAACTTGCGGGACACCAACTTATGCTTATGGATTGGAAAGAAGCATTCACAAAAACCCAGAAGAGGCAGTAACTGTCATAAATCTAGAACAGTCATGACAAGTCAAAGATGAAGTTGAAGTTGCAAAAGATCCCCTAATGGGCTTGTTTTTTGTTCATAACAACTCCAAGAGGGTTCGACAAGTCTGCGGCCGATGCAGGATTTCTTTCACCAAGAGTCTCTTGAAATGATTGAAGTATGGGTTTATTAGCTTAGCTTTGACTCAAAATGGATAATATTAGTTATATAAGTTATACAACAAAGTGATTGTGATTTAAGTAACAAATGAAAAGCAAGTAAAACCATTCAAAGAAAAAAATGCTGAGATTTCTTTTAACCAATTATTGGAGGCTGGCAATGAAGAGTTAACCCAGTGTCAAAAACCTGGCAAATTAAAATATTATTCCAAGGAAAATTGTAAATCAAAAACAGAAGTTGGAAAGGGAAAAATGTCCCATCTCTACTTACTCATCAAGATGAGAAAAAAACTGCCCCAAGAGTTTTGGGAGCCTCCTGGCGGCAGTGATTTCGGAGGCACTCAAATCTGGATGTATACAATCTAAAAAAGGAAATCAACATCTAGCAGTAAACTTCAGGCATCAACCTCGTGAAAGTGCATGTAAAAAATAGCAGCAACAGAGCTAACATAGTTTCTTTTTAGTGTGAAATTATTCCAGCAATAGAGCATAAATTCATTCCCAGACATTTGATTGACTCCAACCAACCTCCCTTCAAGCTTGAAGGAGTGGTCTCAAGACTATAACAATGAAAATCATTTTCTGCAACTTTAAAAAGCGGTTTAACAAGATATTTTCCAAACGACTCGTATACCAATCGGAACACTTTGAGGGGTTAGGGGCTGTTGCTTTGCTACCCAAACGTATTAAACAAAAATTACACAAATTGTAACACAATTCCGTTCAATTTTCAAAATTTATACTTGCAGGTGCCTCCAAATTCTTACCATGGACGTTGAGCATTCCGTCGCAGCTTTTTCTAAACATTGAACCTAGTTTCGGAACCGTCAGCCAGCATCAGGGTGACAGTGCGATTGTTGATCCATATCAGACGCGCCAGCCGCATTGGATTCAGTCGGGCCACATCTGCTATAGGTGCTGTACTGTAGGATTTCACGTTTTTCGTTTGGGCGTGACCCAAACCAAACATACCTAGGAGAAGGAAGAATATATACATTAATTGAAACCAACAACTATGAGGCAGTCACCAAATCAGTGACAACACAACAAAAGATACATACCTAAAAAAAGAGTTAAATATGAATGAAATAAATGAGAAATATGCTTATTAACGTCAGTGAAGGATAGTTTACCTGTGCTAGTTTGCCAAAAACTGAGTTTATTCTCCGAACAAGCATAACTGACTAAGAATTTGCCATCCGGACTGAAAGCGCAAGCAGTCACAGGACCGGAATGTGCTGGGATTGTCGTATATTTCCCTTGCCGCAGCTCGTAAATGGTTAACATGCCGTTATTTGAACCGACTAAAAAAAAAATATTATTGCATGACAATTATTTTACATAAAATGCTGACCAGCTATCCGTCTAGTAGCAGGACAATGTGAAACCTGAGTAAATTTACACACCGCTGGAAATACGTCTTGGAGACCTTTGTTTTTTAGCTGGCTCGGATCTAAGCAATGGAGAATTATATCCATTAACTGAAAAAAAAAATTGTTAAAAGTGGCAGCAAACGCAAATTTTCTTTTACCTGGACTAGAAGATCACTCATCTCTGTTTGCATTTTCTCAATAAGCAACTCTACGCCCCTTAAAATTTCGGGTTTAGCCTTGTGCAAGACATTATTGCTCATATTTATGTTTAACGTTTGCGCGTTTTGTTGCATCGCATTATATCTGGCAACTTCTTTGGCCATTGTGGTAATATATGCTGCAGGCCTGCAAACCAATGAGGGTTTTTGTTAAAAAGTTAGCAATGGAAAAAGTTCTTACCTAGCTGTAGCTATAAGCGTCAAAGCATGCCTAGCTGTTCTACAGGAATCAGCTTGTGGGGTTAACGGCAATCCGTAAGTCATACTAGGCACTAACTTGTCAGCTTCCGAACATAATTCTAAAAGACCTAAAAATAAAAACTTTAACATTTAAAGTCCACAATTCACCGTTGTCGACGTACCTAATAGTACTTTACTGATATCGAGAAAAGGTTCCCAAACTGTGAATCCTCGACCAATCAGATCGATAGCAGCTCTACGTAGGGGTATATGAGCAGGCAAACGGGAAGAAGATGGCGCTAGTAATAGATGAGAAAGAGCCATGGCGGTTAGTCTAGCTAAATTGTTGTTTCCTGAACCTATAGAAAACCAATAGAATTTAAAAACCCAAATCTTTTGTATTGGGGCTGTAAATTCTTACCGAACCCTTCCGCCACAGAACTTTTTCTTCTATCGTCATTTGTCCTCTTCTTCGAGTTGTCTGTATTAGTGATATCCTGTCCGAATTCAGCACCTATCACACCCAATAGGATCACAGCAGTCGATTGTTTACGCTTTAACTCTGTCAAACTAGACGGTTTCCTGACTTGTTCCTCCTCTTCTTCTTCAAATTCTTCGTCCACTGGGTCAGGAGTGTTTGGTACGTTATTATGATGAGAATTGACATGATTTTGAGTTGTAGAAGATGGTGATGTTATTTGAGGATTAATTGTTTCTGTTTGGGTGTAGAGTGGTAAATACTGCGACCAAGCTTCTACAAGTTGTTTACGTCCTTTCGGACCCATTCTTGATAATTCGGCCAATAAAAGGCTTTGAGCTGCCTCTCTGACTTCCACACAATGATGTTGCCATCTTTTGGCCATCATTTCGACTTGAGGACGTTTGAAATGTTTGGCTCCGTGCTCTACGACTTTATCTGGCAACAAGACACAATGCAAGGTTGCCAACAACGTCCAGCCTTGTTTAATTTGGGCTTGTTGCTGAGTGTAAATTTCCTCTTGTTCTTCATCAGTTTTACTCCAGTTTACTCGGGAAGACTGTCTTTGGGCTTTTCTATTGCGTTTCTGTTCTGGGACAAAGGTGGCGTTACTCATACTCATTAGTGTGTGACTGAGCGCTATTACTGCCAGTAGATGGTTGCTGGTTAAAGTTGTACTCAGTTCCCAATGAGTTCTAAGTAAACAAATAGGTTTTAGATAGAATAAATTCAACACACAATTAGAAACTTCTTCACCTCTTTTATTGTTTCCTAGATATGTTTGAGCAAAATACAATAATTACTCACCTACTGGTAAATATCCTTGTCAATTTTTCCCTTCTAACTAACTCCGGAGGTAAGCTGATTTCTAAATCTTGATAGTCGGTGCTAGGTTCGTCGTCCAATGGAATGGTGTTGTGCCACGTGGGCAAAAATAGAGACATGTGATTGGCTTTCGAGAGAACTCCAAAAGATAATGGCACCTAGAAATATCTCTTTGAGGTTTTGTTTCAACAAGAACCAGAAATCAAAGTCTTATTTAATTGAAACAATTAGTTCTTACCATTGGTCGTAATAATCCCAATTTTACTTGACATACTCGATCAAGGTCGTCGTCCAAACCCCATGAGTGCAATAACGACAACAATAGTTGAGCAATGTCCATACCGTGGGAGGTGTCCAAAGGACCGAGGCTACCTGGTCGATTCTTTTCTTTAGAGGAATCTGAATTTTCTACAATACGAGTGAAGGTTTGTAAAGAATTATTTGATAATATTCGAGAGTTTGGAGGTACCCTTGTTAGGGCAAGGTACAAGACCATTCACGTAAATAATAGATAAGTATTTTTAAAAAAACTCTGTTTGGACTGACTCTTAAACATTTCTGATCATTACTTTCAATACATTTCCCAGCTAGTGTCATTATCTAATATGTAATTAATACATGGATGCCCTTTTTAAGTGATGAGAGTTTTACTTTCAGAGTTTGTTAAGCATCTGTCATTGTGATTGGTATTTACTTTTATCAAGCCTACCCACACCGCCAAAATGACAGAGGCGAAAAAATAATATCTAATGAAAGAAACTCACATTGAGTTTCAGCATGCAGAAAAGACAAAATTATTTTAGATTTAAATGAAAGGTTTTGAAGAACTGTGAATTTTAACAGGACCTTCGCAAATAGGAAATTTCCTGTCATAGTAGTAGGTAAATGGTCCTCAAATAAACTGAATTAAATTTTTAATAATCAACCACCGAAGTTGAGAGAGAATAACTTCTTAAACTTCTTTAAGTAAAAATTAAATTTACTCTTACTGAGGTAGGTATAGCCTTGTGAATTTTACGATTGTGTTTTTTGTAGTTTCTTGTAACACCTTTTAGAATATTTTTGACGATTTAATTTTTAAATGTTGTTGTATTTTATTTTTATTATATTTTTTTTATTCTTCTTTTTTGGCTTCGCCCCCAGGACATCTAGCCACTTCCGGTTGTTGTTGCTTGGGTGTGTCCGGCTCGAAACCGCCCACAGCAACTAATTCTCTTCCACTCATGTACTTCTTTCTTCTCTTCTGGGGACCTCTTTTGTCTTTCCAATGGACTTCTTGCCTGGACCTTGCTATTTTATGTGTTGTTATTATTATTTATTTATTATTGTTTTATTTGATTTTTTTTCCTTAAGTAGGGAGTGTGTTAGACAGATAGCACATACGTAGGAAGAACTCTTCTCGCTCCCGAGCAACCAAGGAGCTGCACACAAGTAAATGCTGCCTCGGATTAGAAGGATTGGGCTAAAAGTTAAGGGTTTTCAATTCAACCCCATTTTCAACCAGGTAACTGACAATTTATGTATTAACTTTGCTAACTGGGTCAAATAAGATTGTGTCTAACGAAATTGGGGTTTGCACACCTATGTTTACAAGCATTTCGTATAGATTATGTAGGTTGTTTGGGCATTCGAAAAGCAGGTGTTCTAGTGTACCTTTTTATCCACATTCTCAGTCTAGGGTCTTTTTGATTCCTAGCCTGTAGAGATGCTGAGGGGTCAAACAATGGCCCACTTGCATTCTGATTATTGTTGTGATCTGCCTTCTATCTAGGGATGTAAAATGACGGTCATTTATTTTTTGTGATGAGTGACTGTCATTTTTTGGTCATTTTTGTCATTTATTGTCATTTATGGTCATTTACCTTCAATGTAGAACATAACATAACTTAAATCAATAATCAGATATCTGATTGCTTGACTTAAGTTCTTCTCTTCAGTTTCACAGTCATCAACATCAAAGTCATTTACTGAGTTAGAAAGTACAGCTTCCATCTCCTTTATTAGATTGATAGTAAAAATCGAAAGACATCTGATATTTTTGTAACAATCTCATATATTTCAATAATTGTCATATATTTTAATGACAGTCAGTTAATATTTTGACGGTCAGAAAATTTACGGGTCAATTCAGTGCACATCTGTGAGCAAATCTATAACTTTCTATAAGCCTATAGCTGCCTATAGACAATATGCAGTTCTACGCTTCTCTCTAGCTTATAGAAAATCTTATAGAATCGTAAATATTTCCGATCTGGTGTTTGGTAACTGATGCATTTTGCAGTGTCTATAAGCTTATAGAAAGTTAGAGATTTGTTTACAGATGTGCACAGAATTGACCTGTAAATCAGTAAAAAAATAAATGACAAGAGTGTCATAAAAATAAATGACGTGACCGTCATTTTCATTTTGACTGTGACATGACATTGTCAGAAAAATTGACTCACATCCCTACTTCTATCAATGTATTCCAAGTTGTAGCATCGTGGAGCTTCGGGGAACCGTTTCACCAATTTTTTGTATTTGCTGCCCTTTTTGTCTAGTGTGCTCTCCACTTCCTATTCCATATTGCTTTGTGATCCTTTTCAAATTTCGGGATGTGTTCCTTTATGTCAAGCTGAATTGGGTATGGCACCTTCAGGATCCTTCCCACCCGGGCTAGCTGGTCTGCAATTTCATTCCCTTTAATATTAGAATGTCCTGGGATCCATCCAAGACGTATATCCAAGTCTTGGTCATTTTGTCTTTATTGATTAGTAACATCATTGCGCTTTGGGAATCAGTCTATATTATTGCTTTTCTTGGTTCCTCTTCTAGGCAGACTCCTGTTACTTTGTGGATGCCTATAATTTCGCTAGTACATAGTTGTGTGTGGTCTGGAAGTCTTGCTCAGAATTTGTAATCAATTTGAGAGCAGTATAGCCCAAATCCTGTCTCACTTGATTCTCTATCGACCGACGCATCCGTATATGTGTGATAAAAGTTGCTATATGTATCGTTTATTGCAAATAAAAATTTCCCTCTTATCTCCATGTCCTGCTTATTGATATTCGGATTGATCAACTGTAACTACTGTCTCATTTGGTACTCCAACTCATATACAAATGTCAGGTGACATTTGTAGATCATGATGTTCCCATCCTGATGTTCCAACTCTCCATAACACTCCACCAATCCTGGTGCCTTCTCTTGTTAAAATTCTAAATTCTTTAATTAAAGTTATAATTATGTTATAATTATGTTGTCTCAGGTCAGACCAGGGGTACACTTTTATTGCTGCCTGAGACCATATATTCTTTTAAACCCCCTGCTATGGTACGCTCGGCCAGCCATACAGTCTGTAGCCACCAGAATCAATTAACATCAAGTTGGAAGTGAACTGGCAAAGAAGCTGCTGCCTTGTAGCTGGATGTTGAATCATCAAAGGCTAGAGGAAGACAACCTTGATCACAAATTACCTGGTCCTCCTGGTAGGGGGTTGAGGCATCGGGCTAACTCCCCGTTACTCGGAAAAAAAATTAAACTGTTAAAAGACCCAATCAACAGCCTCGGAACAGGACTGAAAAACGAAAACGAACTAGGCAACGGAAACGGACAATGAGTATCGGTACAGGAATCTCTAGAAAATTGAATGAAGTGTTATCAGAGATAAAATATCAAAAAATGGATCTGCTTGTCGCCACAGACACCAAAAAGAAAGGACAGGGCTCAGAAAATCTGGGAGAGTACGATCATTTCTTTAGCGGGGTTCAAAAAGAACTCAGAGCGAAGAAAGGAGTCTCGATCTTCATACATAGAAAATGGAGAAAACATATAACATCATGGGAAGCAGTAAACGAAACCATAATAAAACTAAATGTATGTATGTTCGGAAGGAAAATAACAATCTTGGGAATATATGGATTGAACGACGACGAACCCGTTAATATAAAGGATCAATTTTACCAACAACTCAGTGACCAAATCATAAAAGTAGGAACTTCAAGGGAAATAATTTTGCTGGGAGACTTTAACGGACGAACAGGACGAAAAATCAACGACAAGGTGATCGGAAAATTCGGAGAGAATGTAACGAATAACAATGGAGAAAGGCTCATAGAAATATGCCAACAAAATAACCTAAAAATCCTAAACGGTTACTTTCAGCATAAAGAAATACATAGGTACACATGGAAAAATGAAACTAGACAACAAAAATCTATATCAATACAATAACACCCCAGCAATGGGAAGAGTACTTTGAAGAATTACTGACAGAACAGCGGGCAGAGTTTAAAGAAGAGAGGGAACAGACACGAAACATAATAACTGCAGGATCACCAATACGAGTTATGCAAGAAGAAGTTAAAAAACACTGCGGCTTCTTGAAAAATGGTAGGGCACCAGGCCCAGGAGAAATATATGGAGAACTGATAAAGTGTGGGACCAATAAACTCTACAAACATTTAACAAAACTATTTCAAACATGCATAGATAAACAAGAAGTACCGGAAGAGTGGAAAGTAAGCTATTTAACAACGATATATAAGAAAGGAGACAGAAACAAATGCGAGAACCACCGAGGAATTGCAGTAACAAATACGCTGAGCAGAGTGTATGGAAAACTCATAAAAGCCAGAATAGAGAACGAGTACAAAGATAGTGAGGCAGAAGAACAGGCCGGTTTTAGAGCAGGAAGATCAACTGTAGACCATTTATTCAGTTTGACCCAGGTAATGGAAAAGAAACTAGCCTATAACCAAGAACTCCATTCACTTTTTGTCGATCTAAAGAAAGCATACGACAATGTTCCGCTGAAAAAGCTTTGGGAAGCACTGGAAAAGACCAATATCAACTTAGAACTAATAAAGGCAGTAAAAACGCTCTATAGTGATGCAAAGACCAAGATTAAACAGGGAAACTCAATCAGTAAAGGCTTTATAGCAACTAAAGGACTTAAACAGGGATGCTGCATATCACCAACACGTTTTAAAATATACTTAGTCAAAAATATACTTAGAACAAGCGCTCAAAGGGTGGAAAAACAAATGCAGACACATGGGAATACCGCTCAATGAATACAATCTTTATACTTTAAGCTTTGCAGATGATCAAGTATTAATTGCACAGGACTATGATGACCTAGAGTACATGACACGAAAATTGATAGAGGAATACGAGAAATGGGGTTTGGAAGTAAATTTAACGAAAACAGAATATATGACTATAGGAGGTGAACAACGAAATCTGAAATTGAATAACGGACAAGAAATAAAACAATGTTCTGAATACAAATATTTGGGCATGAAAATCTCACACGAGGGAACCCTAGACGAAGCAATTAAAGATAGAAATATACAAGGACGCAAGGCAATATCCCTACTAAATGGTGTACTGTGGGATCAAAATATCAACAAAACTAACAAAACGAG